CATTAATTATGATCTTGCTAACGTAAAGCGGTGGCTATCTGCAAACAAACTATCCCTAAATCTTGTTAAAACTGAATACCTATACTAATTGGATCTCGGCATAACGTCAACAATCTAGCCCTTGTTCCAAATGTGTTCATTGGCGATGTACAAATTAAAAGAGTGAGAGAAACAAAAGCACTTGGAGTATGTATTGATGAATTTTTGTCATGGAATAAGCATATTGACAAAATTGCTAAGAAGGTTTCATCCGGAATTGGAGCGATCAGAAGACTCAAACCCTGTGTGGACCATAATACTTTAATATGTGCTTATAACGCACTTATATTGCCCCACTTCGACTACTGCTGCGAAGTTTGGGATACTATTGGTATTACACTCTCTGATCGCCTCCAAAAATTACAAAATAGGGCTGCTAGAGTAATTACGGGTCGTAAAAACGAACACGGCCAATCTGAACTTGCTTTAAATGAACTAAACTGGAAAACATTGAAAGAACGCAGAACTCAATTTGTAGCAAGTCTCATGTACAAAATAACCCACAATCTAGCGCCCAAACAACTAATTGATATGTTTCAAAAGACGCCTTCGTCTCAACATTATAACTTACGAGGTTATGCCACAAATCTCTATCTGCCCAAACCTAAGACCGAATATCTTAAAAAAGGTCTTAGTTATAGAGGAGCAAAATTGTGGAATGGCCTCCCAGATAGACTAAGAAATAAATGTTCTCTTAGTCAATTTAACTTAAGTGTGCGGCACCTGGCCAGTTAGATAATGAGTTTATGAAATTTTAAAATCATATTCATAATCCCCTTAGGATATAAACATTTTAGAACCCCCTTGGATGTGATTTTTGGAAGTTACCCCATGGATATCTTTATACCCCCTTTAGGATATCGTTTTTACCCCGTCACTAAAACACCTAATTTTTGCTATTTTTGGAAAATTTCTTAAGCTACCCTCTAGGAAAATTTAAGGTAAAAAACCCCTCCCCCCCATAGGATATCCATACCCCTCCATAGGGGGGGGGGGCTATATCAAATGGAATAGCCCATTCAAAGTCCTGGCACAACAGCAAAGGTATAATAAAAACATTTATGGTAGACAAAATTGTACTTAAAACTTTGTTATTCTTTGCTATATTTCTATTCTTTAAATTGTCTTTGTATATTCAGTGTAACACCTCTGTATAACATTATTCTGCAGTGTATAAACATTATTATAATATAGCATTTGTAAATTCTGAACGCTGATTGGCTAAGAGCCGTGTTGATATCGCCCTTCGGGCGTCGTGTTTCCACACAATTTCTCGTTTTCCCAATTTCCACTCGTGTTGATATAACTGTATATTAACACGGAAAATGTTTTATATTTGTTAATTCATGTATGATTATTCATATGTCATCTGTGACTCAATTTCCATTTTAGTACATGACATACTTTTTTGTAGTTTCCTAGCAGAAAGATCAGGCTGACTCCTTCAAAGAAGTCACCAGTGAAAAAACGTAAATGGACCTTTGAGGAAAATAAAGCTTTGATCTAGTTATGGAAAAATTTTGTCCATAATAAAATACAATAACAACAATTTACAATATCCTAGTAATCTATGTCATTGTTATAATCGTAGGGATCCATAATAAAATATGTAGGGATCCATAATATAAATTAACAGCAATTTACAATATACTTCTTGTGTGTGTTGGTGTTATGTACTCAGGTGAATATGATGTTTGTGATGTTACTCTGAGTGTGCATCCACACCGAGTCGAGCTCAGTTGGTAGAGCATTGGACTAATATCTCAAAGATCGCAGGTTCGATTCCCACTGTGGTCAGGCAAACTTTTCAGCTTGCCCGATGTGCATGCACACTCAGAATAACATCACAAACATCAATTAACAATGTAGGGATCCATAATAAAATAAATATGTTGGGATCCATAATAAAATAAAATAATTTACAATATTCTAGTAATCATATCACTGCTATAATTGTTTCTTGGATCATCTCTGTCCCATGGTCCACTTTTCACAATCAACAATGCTGTACTGTACTGTAGAGTAATACCACCAAGCACACAGAATTTATTGGCTGTAGATTACAGTTACATCCAGTTTGCCCTTGTAAATTTATTGGTTGTAGATCACAGTTACATCCAGTTTGCCCTTGCAAATTTACTGGTGACAGCACACTGTCCAACTCTTCATTAACAGTATCTGGATCTCGAGGTTGAATTGTTTGAGAAGGTGGGGATGGCAGAATATCGAAATCCCACAAAATAACATTCTCAAAGATAAGAGATTGTCCTGTTCCATCTTGCCCGAGATCACTGAAGTCAGAGAACTGCAACATATGAAAACAATATTCAGTTTAACAAAGTACAATATTAAAGCAGGGCGCATGCGACTCAATGGGTTAACTAGACACATGGGCAGATAGGCCAGCTGCCATTAGACAGAGTAAAACAATCTGGCATGAGACAGAGTAAAAAAATAAAGTAGGGTGCAATTATTGTGACTCATGCAATTCAATGGATACTAAAATAAATTACTTTAATAGTAATAAAATACCAAAGTAATCAAACCTCTATGATCAAACCAAATGAACAGTCTAAGCTTCTCTAACTTAAACTATTTTAGCTCTATATGCATATATTCAAAATGGAAAGCACAAATATTGTTACCAACATTGGCTAAAAAAATCTGAATCATAGAAAAAGCATTGTGTAGGTTCATTGCAAACGACTTACCCTAAAAGCACAACTGGAATGTATCTCTATCAATGCTGGGCTATTGCAATCGGCGAATATTTCATCAACTTTTAGAGACAAATAGACAATTAAAATAGGGATTCTTCTGATATGCAAACTATCCAAAAAACTGATGTGAATCTCACGGCATTCAAAACTGAACACACGATAACCCATAGGAACCAACAGCGTAGGCTCTGACGATACACAATGAACAAAAAGAAGATCGTGTCCTTCCAAAACTGAAGCTTTATGGCGGTGGTTGGCTTTACAAAATCCGCCATATTTCTCACTCTTGTTGTTTTGATAGTGAAGGTCAAGCGAACAATAAGCGCTCGCTCGTGGAAAATCAATAATATATAATTAATTGGAATAATCGCAATGCATCACGGTATAGTGATCACTCCTCCTCTGATCGAAGACCTGTATTTTATAGTCGCTTGTTCGAGCCTTCGAAGGCATCTAGACGTTCAGTTGTAAATTTTAATAATAAATAAAAATAATAAATAATAGTAATAATGATTTAATAGCATTTCCACATAGTGGCTCTTCTATGCTACAAGTGAGTTTGATTATAAGATAACAAAGTATACAATACATACAACGGAGTACATAATACGACACAACAAGTATTACAATACGTAGTATGTTGTAAATTACAGTATTTAACAATTGACATTACTTATACACAGTAAAATACAGTATAGTTATACACACAATGTCAACAGAGTTTACGACGTGTCACTAATTCTGTTTTTGACTAATGTTTTGAAGTACTCGGAGGAGGTTCTGCAATAATCTTTAAATGTATCGCAGTTTCGAATTTCTTCAGGTAAAGAATTGAACACTAGAGCTGCTTCATCTTGGAAGGTTCCAGAGATAATAGGGACTACTAGACGCCGGGCAGATGATGATCGTAATGGTCTTATAGGAATATATTCCTCTAATTTTAAGTATGAAGGCCAGTTATCACAATTCATTGCTTTGTATGCTAATTTGGCAAGATGATAATTCCTACGTTCCAAAATTGGAAGCCAACCGAGAGACATGACATCAGTGAATCTAGCGTACCTATTAAATACAAAGCCAGCAGCAGCGAACTGCACTCGTTGTAAGCGTTTTAATAGGTATTCTGGTACTGGACTAGACACGACATCGTTGTAATCAATTTTTGATAGCACCAGACACTCCGCGAGTTGCTTCCGAATTTTAAATAGTGCCAAATGTTTCAATTTTCTCAAGACGGATAATGTCGCGTAACAACTTGAGATCTTTTTGTTTACATCATCATTCCATTTTAAATTTTGATGCAATGTAGTACCAAGAAGAGCCGCACATTTAGTTCTTTTAAGTTCAATTCCATTAGCATGAAGATGAACAGAATGATCTTCATCAAGTTGGTGCACACGAGAGAGTTGACTAGTCGAGAAAAGCATGACTTTTGTCTTATATTGGGGTTAAGAACAAGGTTATTAGAACTAGACCAGGTGGAAAGTTTATCTAGATTGGATTGAATTTCCTCTTCACATGACTTTAAGTCAGCTGGCTTACAATGTGCATAGATGGTAGTGTCATCGGCATACTGATGTGAAGATATAGAGTCGTCAAGGTTTTCAGAGAGATCATTGACATATATAGGTTGAAGAGTACAGGACCAAGTATAGACCCTTGTGGAACTCCAAAACAAACGTTAGTTGTGTTTGACACTGCGTCGTCTATTTGAACAAACTGTCGTCGACCAGTCAGATAGCTTGTGACCCATTTGAGATACTCTTTGGAGAAACCTTGTGAATGGAGTTTTCTTAAGATGGTAGAATACGACACAGTATCGAACGCTTTCGAGAAATCTGCGAGAACAGCTATTGTGACTTCACCTCTTTTCATAGCTCGCTGAATATCATCTCACATTGCCAACATAACTGTCGTAGTGTTGTGACCTTTGCGGTAAGCACTAGTGAATTGATTAAGTTTTTATGGATTTATTAAGTTTTTAGTTTTTTATTAAGTTTGGGTTTTTTTTATTTTTTTTTTTATTTATTTTTTTTTAAATTTTCGATTTACAGTCTCTACTTATCTGTGTTGTTAAGAAAATCGTATAGCTTATTTGTGTGATATACATGGATGTTGTATTTTCTGTTTAGTATTTGCTAAGTTGACATGTATACTTTAATACATGTGTGATTTGTTTGAAATGCATATACTATAAACTCTTGACGAAGGGCCTTCATTCGAAACGTCGAGTTTCTGCTTGTTTTTTTAAGGTAGTAATATAACCACTCAGCACAGCATTTTCACATTGGTACTACCCACACTGGTACAGATAGTTTTAGTACCGGGTGTCCCCAAAAAAGTACTCTGGTTTGATTCTTAATAACTCTGAAGTGGGTGAAGCTATTACACTCAAATATATTTTATTACATAGAGGAAAGGCTAACTTAGATTTTGATATATTCCAGTTGTATATTTATAAAAAAACTGACCGAGATATTAATGTTCAAATTTGGTAGCATATTTCTGGATGTGTAAAAAATTTGCGAAAAACGGCGTATCAAATATTAACCAAGCGTTGCTCAACTTAAAGACATATTATTATGAGTAAATTGATGAAACTTGATAAAATGTTTATTGTGAAACGATGTATTATTATTTACCGAAATACAAACAAGATTTATTCGTTCGGAATCGCGTGACTTCCAACATGACTGCATTGTCTAGCTCGTTGGAGACCATAGCGTCGTGGCATGTCGCTTCATGCAAAAACTTCTTGTGCGTTGCGCGTTCGTTTTGTCGGGGCAGGAGTATTACCCCAGCGACCCGGCCATCGTCTTCTAACTCCTGCCGCGTTAATTTTGGAATCTTGCATGCTCTAAGAAAATCCAAACTCTGTGATCCTTATAGTTAATCTTGGCATACTCAAAATGAAACACAATTAAACTATAACATAACAACAATCATAACATAACATGCAACTCCCCAGAGACATGCAACATTCTTGGAACAAAATGTATAAAAAATATAGCGCTGATACAGTAACATGTACTTGCAAAAAGATTGCTAGAATTCAGTATTATTTAAACTACCATATTCATCCTATACAAACTTTCATGCAATGTCATGCAACTTTGTTATGTTCGTTTGAGACTACTCAAAATATGAATAAGCCGTTCAAGAAAATTTATTACCCGAAAACTTGTTTTTGAGTATTTTTAAAAATCAATCAAAAACTTGCATAAATTCAAACGTTAGTATATCTCAGTAAATAATGAGCGAAAACTTACATCTAACATATCAAAATCTAAGTTAGCCTTTCCTCTATTTAATAAAAGTTATTTGAGTCTAATTGCTTCACTCGCTTTGAAGTTATTGAGAATCAAACCGGAGTACTTTTTTTGGGACACCCGGTATATATATTCACATTAATAGCATGTAGACAGCATTTCCTAATATTACCCAATGGATGGCATGTACTTGCTATGGTATAACCCTCCTATCCGTCAGCCTAAAACATGTTAAGGGTCTGCTTATATAGAGGCAAGCCAGCCCAGGTAACTAACCTGGCTATAGCTTGCTTTCGCAGGATGAATGTCTGTTTACATGCGCCTCTTTAGATGGGCAGGCTTGCCAAAACAAATCACCCAGACTGAGTTGTATAATAGAAGCACATTTTCTAATAAAGTAAACCGACATCAAACTTATGCAGACATTTTCGAAATGTAATCCATTGAGCCGCAATGCGCCCCAGTACGCCCAACTTATATTTTTTTACTTGTTTAACACCAGACGATTTTACTCGTCAGTGGGGAAGTCTGCAGCTTAATGGGTTAACCAAAAAATCTGACAATGTCTCTAGTTAACCCATTGAGCCGCAATGTGCCCCAGTGCGACCTACTTATTTTATTTACTTGTCTACCGCAAGCAGTGGTGTAACTTTACTTTTTGACTGCTTGCCCTCAGGGCAAGTTGGTCATGAAAATTAGTTACTCTGAATAAAATCCACTTGCCATCAGACAATGGCCACTTGGGGTACCTAGGTAGGGGGTATAAATTAAGAGGACAACATGTCAACCCGTTCTCCCACTGCTCTATATGTCTATGTGATACTTCCTCAGATCTAGCTTTGGTCCGCGAAAAACAAAATTTGAATCCAGTCCATGCACTATAAAACAAAATATATCCGACAATGAAAACATAAACTTAAAGATGCCCAGCTTTTTGTGGCAAGGCAACGTGCCCAATCGGGCAAGCAAGATAAAGTGTTTACTTGCCCATCATGATATTCACTTGCCCCGAGCAAGTGGTAAGTTACACCTCTGGCCAAATGATTTTACTCGTCAATGGGAAAGCTCAAAGTCTACAGCTTAATGGGTTAATATTCAAATTGATTGGGAAATGTCATTTAGAAGATTATGTACATTCTGCCTAAACAAAGCACTAATACTGTGCCAAACCCGGGGTCATTGTATATAGTTTATATGGAAATTCCTAGCTTGGCATTAGCAACATTTTGGGTCAATTGAGGCAGTATCTTTATTTATTTAGCTTTGCCAACTAGGGCGGGGTCACCACAACAGCATATGCCAATTACTGTTGGCCCTTTTACCTCACCCACCCTGTCAACTTTCCCTGTAGGAGGAAACCAGAGTACCCAGAGAAAACCCACGACTTTCCACAGAGTGTTGTCTGTTGACTTTTACATAAAGATTTTTATATAAAGATTTTTATATAAAGATTTTTATATAAAGATTTTTGTATAAAGATTTGACTTATTATGCATACGTTTTTGAAGTCATTTAAAAAACTCGCAGGTCGTGTTTTATTAGGTCTAAAGCTAAACCTAATAAAACACTCCTGCTCGTTTTTTAAATAGTACTTCAAAAACGTTTGCATAATAAGTCAAATCTTTATACAAAAATCTTTATATAAAAATCGTTATATAAAAATCTTTATATAGTTTGCATAACAATGGTCTTTTGTTAAAGTGTTCTTTAGCTGGTATAAAGACGTATGCACGTGACTAATTTCTTACTCAAGATTGGATAATTGCTTCATGAATTATTAATGAGTTTTTGAATACAACTTAAAATTGGGTGCTTTACTACAACTTATTATGGCAAGTTAGTGGGCTATTGCAGTAGTAATTTATATACAACACAGCCTAGTCCCAGTCGTTCTGAAGCAAGTGCGAGAAAAAACGTGGATGTAGTACGAGACTGGGACCTAGGTGTGACGTCACCGCTAAAGGTGTTTCACAACGCCTAGCAGATTTCAGTATTTTTAATATGGCGGAAAATTTATATATACAAATAAGCTTGTAAATACGACAATGTTCGTTGATCATGTTCGATGTCTACATAACCAAATTCAAACTGTATTAAAAATGTGCTCAATTAAAAAAACTATACAAATTTACGATACTCAGTCTGAGCAATGGTCGTATAATCGTTGATGATATTTATATACTCGCAAGTTGTGATCAACACTAGACCATACTGGTATACACAACTACGCTTTCTACCTGACAGGTTTAAGTAGCTGAGGAGATTGGAAATATTTGCCTGACATGACTGTGCTGTCAAAACATTTTTAGTCGGAGACTCGGCATAATTTTCAAGCTTCTAGATAGCATTTAATATAGCTTTATATTTTAGTAAACATGAGTCATATTTAGCCCGTTATTCCATTCTGACCGTATGGTAGCGAAGCGTAGCCTATATCATTGTTCCGACAGCATTAGAGCAAAACTAATGACTTAATTATAAACGCAAAGGAAATTTCCATAACATTTTCTATTTACAAATGCGGTATGCTTGGTAACCAGGCCAGGGACCACTTTTTTGAAATCAGGGACCATTTTACCGAAATCTGCTAGGCTCTCTCGCTGAAGCGTTCCGCACTGCACACCAAGGCATAAAACTTTTAAGACTTATTTAAATATATCAAGGCAGGAATAGAGAGAGAGCCTGGAACTAGGCTGTATACAACACACACAAAGTCAAAGTAGCAGGCTAGGAACTATTGTTATGTTGTCAATTCAAAGAGACTATAATGATTGCACGTACCTATGTTATACCCAACAATTGAATGTGCTAGCAAAGAGTCATAAGAGATCTGCATGACCTATATTGAATCGTATGGATATACTATAGAATATAGAATATAGAATATACAATAGAATATAGAATATTTATAGTTGTCCATGCCAACCACATTTTGTCCTTTTACACCTTTGTAGTAAACTTTGGATATTTAAATACTAACACAATAAAAAAAAGATGCTGATAATGAGTAGAAACTTCGTGTTTTTAGATACAGTATATGTCCGAGAGTATGTCGATCAGGCTTGGAACTAACATAAAACTTTCTAGAAAAATGTTAATTTAACAACACCGCAACACTGCCAACACAATACATATTAAAGTGAAACTGAAACTTTATAATGCGATATTGTTATCCCAGTTTTACTCAAATGTACTCCTTAAAGCAATAAAATTAAACACGAACCTTTTATGTTGCTATTTTATCCAAATTAAAACGATTGGAATAGTTTATAAATTGTAGATAAGGTCGTATAACTCGTATGCACTCCTTCTGTCTTGCTACATTATGGGGACGAAACCGGAAGTTGGGAAATATCCACATGATAAAATTTTCGCGCCAAATTTTTCAGTAACAATCGAAATGTTGCGAGGTATCCAAGTCCGTCTCGCCCCCAAAAGACGGACTTGAACCAAGTCTAACGGCGAGGCAGAAAAATTGTTTTAAGCATGCAGCTCAAAACTTTTGTGCGTATCGGGCGTATGCTTTATACGATAAGCATACTCTAGGCACACGCTGAATACGCTACAGGTACGCCAGATGTACGGTACTGATACGCTGGCATTTCAAAGAATTTTTGTGCGTATGAAAATTATTTCATTAATTTTCATACGCTTCTCATAAGTTTCTCTCATACGCAATAGTGTGACAGGGCCTTTAACATGAATGAGACCTAATTCAATTGTCGTGGGTCTACTATAAGCAAACATCCAGTTGCACAAACAAACACTTTCGCAGTAGTTATTTTACGTGATGACTCAAGAGTACATTGAAATTGTGCTAGAACTTGTAAGGGTGTAGAGCAAGCAAAACCAAAACGGCGGGTTTTTTTACGTGGCCAGCGTTATTGTAGGGTTTCCATCAACCAGATGTTTATAGGAGTGTGTGTATGTACTCGAGTGTGTATGTTGGTGAATGGTGAACATGTTAATGATATTTTTGACACACTACCTGATCGGAGAGATGCAATGTTGTAAACACATTTTATTTGTAAACCGCCATGCAACTTACATTCTGCCCCCATGAGGTTATATCACGTGACTTACATGATCACATGATACTACAAGGACACTCCAAAACCTATCGAAACAAATGATTAATGGTTTCCAGTATGAACTGTAATTTTACTAAAACAGTAAATTGTACGTCTATATATTGTATTGATTTATGCATGAGCTTCCGTTTGTCTTGTTAACGATCGGTGTTGTTTTTCAAATGTGAACAAGTGGATGGCAAAATTTTATTGCGGTAGGCACCTAATAAACAAAATATTTTGAATAAAGTTCTGAGTTTTGATACTTGTTGTACCATTCAAATGGATGAGTAAACTATTTATTTCGCATGTGTTTCATGCATGCAAGTGACTGCATAATTTTTTCATGCGAAGAACATGCAATCGCGCGACTTTTCAACCTGGATGCACTTATCCTTCAGATTTGTGCAATTATGATCGTCTCTGAAAAAACTACGAAGCATGCCGCATAAAAATTGACATATTTGTTCCCATGTATGGCAAGATTCGCTATTTGTACTACATGAACCAACACATATAGCACCGTTTGCAAAAAAGTTTTGAAATGAATGTAAAGTCATTTTCAAACTATAAGCTGGTGTTTAAAATTCATATGTCTAAAATTAATACTCCTTTCTTTTTATTTACCCTTCTAGCGTTTATTGGTGGTTCGTTCAATGAAGATATATACCGTGCAAGGGCTGATGTAGTAATTTTATAATTATCAAAGCGAGTCGTATATTTATAAACACCTCCCTTTATCACCGAGAGTATTTCTTAGCTCTTGAGCTTTGAAAGGCTGAGTTCCCAAATTTGGTCAGGTTCATTATTGCAATTAGCCAAAACTGGACTATTTCCACCAACAGCGATGCACATGCCAGAAACTTTATGCCGGATAGACTTTGCCTAAAAGAAAATGTCAATTTTCAACATGTTACATGCCACTAATAGACGACTGGCCATGTCATCATTTCGTACAACTTGATGGCAATTTTATGTTAGAAGCTGGTAACAGGCATTTTCTTATAGTTTAAGCCTTGTTGAACAAAACTGTGTGTGTTACCATTTCTGATTTTTGCTTTATAGCCAATAATTTGAGAATTTTTAAATTTTGCCTATTAAATTACTATCATGGCAAAAAATGTAAACTGATTTCATGTTCTCTTATACGAAAAATAATCTATACCACCAGAAAGAGCGCAAAAAACTATATATAAGACAATTAAGCGATTTCTAGTTTTTCGAATCCTATTTCGAGTTTTGAATGTTAAAAAATGCGGAAATGACCAAATTAATGCCAATAAGTACCCATTTTGCCAACTTTAACCATCTTTAATTCAAAACTGGCTTGAAAAATCGCACTAGTCGCTTAATTGTCTTATATATAGTTTTTTTGCGCTCTTTCTAGTGGCGTAGTTTATTTTTCGTATAGGCCTAAGAGAAAATGAAATTTTACGTTTTTTGCCATGATAGTAATTTAATAGGCAAAATTTTAAAATTCTCAAATTTTCGGCTATAAAGCAAAAATCAGAAGTGGTAACACACACAGTTTTGTTCACCAAGGCATAAATTATAAGAAAATGCCTGTTACCAGCTTCTAACATAAAGTTGCCATCAACTCTCTTTAGAGGCACTTTTTGCCACCTTGGCCGGCTGACTATAAAGGACACAAACGAGAGGTCGGTTGAGCAAATAATGGATAAGATACTTAGATATCTATGCAGTGGGTAAGACCTTATATTCAATGGATAAATCCTCTATCTGTTGGACAAAAGAGCGTTGTATAAAGCATAAAAAAGCAGGGTGAATAACTATACCAGTGAGATAAGCTTAGAAAACGGATTTTCCTGAACTTTGTGACGTCGGCTTTGATAGGTATTTTCAACATTTGAATCCTGATAATATCTCTTTAATTAAATTAACTTCAAACACTCATTAATAATTCATAAGCTTATTGGCAAATCATGTCAACCATAATATATGCCACGTGCAGTGGCTTTAAACCTGATAAAACACTCCTAATTAGTATTCTTTATATAAAGAATACTAATAAGACAGTATCAATTGTAGTCGTGTTTCATTAGTATTCTTTATATAAAGAATACTAATAAGGCAGTATATATCTATTGAATTTGTGGTCGTGTTTGAAGCCGTTCAATAAACTCGCAGGTCGTGTTTTATTAGGTCTAAACCTAAAAAAACACTCCTGCTCGTTTATTAAACAGTACTTAATTGTAATAAGGTTTACCATTGTTCATGCATGGTTCATGGTTCAAATGGATGTACTGTTGTTTCTCACTCGCTTTTCAGTTACTGCTAAATTACTCTAATAATTTTTTTCATAATTGAGTTGTGTTATCTATTAATTTTATTTTATTCAATTTTATACTTTTCCTGTCGAAATACTATAAATAGCAAAGATTTTGTTTCACCTTGCACACTATTTATGGCCTGCGTAGCAGGCTCAATGGGTAAATGAGAGCCTGCAACAATCTCAAGAAAATTTTATCAGCGCCCACTAATTACTACGATAATTTATTTCCAATCCAACCAATCATATTCTCTGAAATGTGTGCGTGATGCAGTTTGAGTAATAACTATATAACATGCTTATTGCTGTTGATATAGAAGCAGCTCGACAATTCAAACTTTTAAAAAATTGGCAGTTTTAAATTACTTTTGGATAAATAAAACAGAATTTATACCGACGATGTCGGTTTGGTACATTAGTATGTGATAGGCCTACAATTCACTAAAACAAAACAAACATGCACTGATAAACAGTTTAAATGCCGTAAACGGCCGTATACTCAACACTGTCTATTTTTACGTATTAATGAACGGAACTCAAAAACATATTTATATCAAAAGGTCCAAACATTACAATACTGAATTTCAAAATCATAGGAAATATGACCAGCTATGAGCGAATACATGCATGTTTCAAAATTGCAACGGCTGAACAGTATAAACGTTTACAAATTGACAATTTACCTTGCAGTTTACTTACTTCATGGCTTACTATTCTAAGTCGGCCGAAACTGTTTTTTAGAGTTTAGATAAAATAATTATACGAACAAAAAAAAAATACTTCGTTAAATATTTTAAATCGACATCGCAAAGTTTCAATTTAATTACAAACACTTTAAATTTCAAAGCAGATTGTGTGGTTACGTTGTGGCCGCGAAATAAACGACGTTTGCTAAATACGGCCGAGTCAGTCGAAACGATTTAAGCCCATTCCAATAGTATCGTTAATTAACTATTTCTGATATAGACATTGTTAAACCTAAATGGCCAATACACGAAATCCTTATTGCTGCTTAACAAATAGTGAGAGAAAGTCAAACGCGAAACGATTTTTGGTGCTAATAATAATGCATAAACTGCAGTCTATTTTATATCACTAAAGGCTAATTTCCACTCCGGAAAATAAGCAGCGGATCGGACAGGATAGGAACAAACAAAATCCGCGCATGCTCCATCAGTAGAAATTTTTGGTTCCGATTGATCCGGGCGACGTTGCTGGCCGGATAATAAAAAGTTGAAATATTTTCAACTTTTTTGGGTCCGGTACGCGGATTAAACCTGGCGACCAATCAAAATGCCGTATTATCTCACATAAATTAAAATAATTAAATATCTGTATAAAAGTTACAAAATAAAGGATGTGAGACTGGAACGAGCTCCATTTTTTCCCTTGTCCGATCCGATCATTCCACTTGTTCTTTTTACTGGAAATCGCTTGTTGGATCGGACCGGATCGGAAAAAACCTTCGACTGGTGCGATCCGCTGCTTACTTTCCGGAGTGGAAATTAGCCTTCAGAGCGCTTTTCGATTGCCGGACGTTTTCCATTCGCAGATTTTAAATTCAAGCTTTGTTATCGCTGAACGCTAATGTTCACAACCAGTGGTATAGTGTAAATTCAAGAATTTGAAAATGTATGTATAGGCTAAATACAGTATCCAACAAAATGACTTAATAAATACACGTGTTGTCTGTCGAGTTGTGAAATTTATCAGCCAAAGTCATTCATGCGCATCGTCTGCATGCACATGGGCAGTTCTAAGTAGTCAGATATTTAGCAAGCCAGAAATTTCGCGTAATTATTATTTATTCAAATGCATGACCTATTTACAGATATTGCTAGAAAATAAAAAAATATATAAAGTATAGTACATATAGAATAGACAGTATAGTTAATGGAAAATAAATAATATATAAAAGGATATAGATTTACATTTTGATTTACATATATATATATATATATATATATATATATATATATATATATATATATATATATATATATATATATATATATATATATATATATATATATAAATATATAAAATTTGATTTCGTTGGTTATAAAAACTTTTGGCAAAGTGCTCAATGGAAAACCAGAGCATATTTAAATTAAGGTACAACAAATCAACAAAATCCACTAGGCATCTTTATTACTAAATAGTTTCGTACCGCAGTATGTGGCACTCTTCAGATAAATTTACCTAATGACTATAGACTAAAACTTACAAGGTTATATGTACAGGTGGATGAGACATGAAACTTAATCCTATTTACAAAGCACGCGATTTAATAAACATGTTATGTGATAAGCTGACAGGACGCGGAAAGATTAACACACCGCGGTATATTTAAATGTCTAGCTTTTAAATGTTACTTAAAAGGATTTTTTTATTATGCCTACATGCTGATACTAACTCATTACGTTTGTTTAAAGTTGCCATTTTGGGCTTACAAATGATAAAGTATTTCTCCCATAAACACAAATTACATCTATTTGAAGCACAGTTATAAGGCTTAGCTCGTTTCAATAGTTTCCATTTGATTGTATAATGGATGTTTCGATTTTTCAATTCCCACACGTATTTGCTAAGTTCAGTAGCGTTCCGTTTGTCAAAGGAGTTAAATGATGCTTTATGGTTTGCAAGTCTTGTTTTGAACGAGTTTTCAGTAAGGCCGACATATGTTTGGGGAGGTCTATTGGTAGTTTTGTCCTTAGTAGTGACTGTGGCTTGATATACAACCGATTCGGTGATACATTTATTAGACAGTGGGCACAGTTCTTTATTGTTTTTAGGGCAACTGCACATGTCGGGACTATTCGTGGTGAAAGCTGTAGACACATATATATATATATATATATATATATATATATATATATATATATATATATATATATATATATATATATATATATATATATATATATATATACAAGTTTTTTAAAGAATTAATACCGAAACAACAGCGAAAAAAACATGTTCATTGAGAATATAAATTGTTCAGAAAAGTTTGCAACGAAAGACAAATGAATTTGCAGTCAACAAGCACTTATATACTATACTACCAAACATCTGTATAATATATCTGAGCTTTTCTGTGAGATATACCGGTTCTAAAACCATTTCTTTCACTTCGTCTTCGAGTTGTAAAACGAAAGTATTTCAAATTTTCAAGGCCAAGCGGTTTTTGGCCGAACAAATTGTCAAGACATTGTAACAGAGGATAATTAATTATTGCTTCAGTTAATGGCTATTAGACTATATTATAAAACAATTATACCATTCGCTC